TTCAACCCTTCAGGATCGAATACAATAGCAACAACCAATGCAGTTGGAGATCAAATGCAGCAGCAGACTATGTTGAATCAATTTGGGCCGGCACCACAGATAACAGTATCCGATCCACGGCTGCTGAATTTAGATAACGCCATAGCATCCACCCAACAGCAGCTCACGGCAATCCAAAATGGAATAGCCGAAGCTAAACTACAAGAACAGATCATTGAAGCGAATAATAAAGCTGCACAACAGGCCCAGGCCCAGCTTAGAATAGGTGAATTGGGATCTATTGCCATAAATCCCACTCAACAGCAACTGATTAATGCTGGTAATACCATTGATGTTCAGCAGCAAACGATGGGGTCAGCAGAACAATTGCAACAACAACAGTTTTTGGAAATGAACAATGCAATCCAAAATCAGGCAGCCAACGCTGTATCGCCATTTCCACAACAACAACAACAACAACAACCGAATTTAGCTGAAAGGTTTGTACAACAGCCACAAAACTTAAACAATGCTGGTCTGGGGTCAGCAGAACAATTGCAACAACAACAGTTTTTGGAAATGAACAATGCAATCCAAAATCAGGCAGCCAACGCTGTATCGCCATTTCCACAACAACAACAACAACAACAACCGAATTTAGCTGAAAGGTTTGTACAACAGCCACAAAACTTAAACAATGCTGGTCTGGGGTCAGCAGAACAATTGCAACAACAACAGTTTTTGGAAATGAACAATGCAATCCAAAATCAGGCAGCCAACGCTGTATCGCCATTTCCACAACAACAACAACAACCAAATTTAGCCGAAAGGTTTGTACAACAGCTACAAAACTTAAACATTGCTGGTCTACAACAGCAAGTCATGTCAAATACAGCCCCAATGCAGCAAGATATTTCAAATTTAGTAGGGCAGCAGACTCAAAACTTAGACATGAACAACATGGTTCAAAATCCTGTTCCAGAAATTATTACACAGCCGCTTCAGCAACAAATTGTTGATGT